ATGTTTAACAAAACAAATAAAAATACAATGCAACAAAGATAATGTTAATTTGTGGTTTTCTAAGCCAATATGTGGCCTCCAGAGATCTGTTTCTTTTTTGAGTTTGACACCACTGGTCTACATAACCCCTACATTTTATATTCCCTTCCTCCTCAAATTTCAAGATCTTAAGACTAAAACAGGAACCAAACAAGTGAGTTTCAAATAGCCACTGGGTGATGGATGTCAGCCTCTTCAAGAGATCATAGAGATGAAGAAGTTGGGATTTTACCCCACCATAAGTTTATCCTACGAAAGAGGGATTGGAAAACAGAATTAGCAGTGAAAACTGAAGCAAGAGAAGGGCAGGGGAGGTTCCAATATCTGATTTCTTTCTAGACATGCTAGCAAATGTTGTTTGTCATTGTAGGGGAAGTAACAATTCAGAGGCTGATAGAATTGGAATCTGTGTTTGGCCTGTACTCTGGCCAAGAACAAGAACAGTCAAAATGATGCCAAATAAAGGTAAAATGCTTGGGGGATAATAAAAACGGAATAAAGTGCAAAAATTGTTGCATTCAAGTCATAACCTTGGAGGGGACGGAGATTTAAAAAAAAAAGTCATTGTATCCACATGCTCCACTTGATCTCACTCGCCAAAGAGCAGAGAACTTTGGGGTCAGCATCTGGGATCCTCTAACTGGCTCATAGAAAATGAGTCAGCCCATTTATAAGAGAAATCAGATGAGGAACACTGCCTTTGAGGTCTACAAAGTCAAACTGGCAGCAAACAAAATCCTCCCAAGAAATAAGCAGAAGGAAATGAAAGTAGATTAGAAACGAGACAAGAGAAATCAGAAAGGAGACGCTGAGAGGAGACACAAGACTTTTTCCATGGCAGCTATCAAAAAGCATTTCAGTCCATGAACAGTAGAAATGGAAGTCTAACCAAATCAGAGCTGGGCTAAGTGTATTCAGTTCCTGGGGCAGGCTCAGACCTAATTGGATTTGTAACAAATTCTATTCCTGGACCCTTTTCTGTTTTCTGCCCCAAACCTAGCTTTTGAAACTCTCTGTATTGCCTTAAATTGTTTTGTTCCATTATTTCATGGATTTTGAAGACAAGGAAGAATGCTAAAAGCTTTTCAGGCTATGGCAGTGAACATTAATTTCAAAGGACAAAGAGTATGCTTTGTGAGATTTTTCTTTTTTAACCTTAGGGTCTCCTAGAACAACTTCTGAAAGTTTAGAGGAAATTTAACTGGCAAATAAGAAAAAAAAGTCAAATAAACAGTACCAGTCCATAACGTAACTAACTCATTCATTCATGTAGTCAGTCATTCATTCAACAATGTGCCTACTTTGAACAATGTGCAGTGCTAGGAGCTGCTGGAAAAGGAAGAAAAGGATAAAGGTGGTTCTTGGTATTATGGATACACTGATCAGAGATGTTAGACTTTTTACAAAAATCATTATGAAAAAAGATAAGACATGAAAGGGTTTTTTTTGGTTTGTTTGTTTTTTAAGATTGTACCTTCCTATATCACCCAGGCTAGAAGTGAAGCAGCTACTTTCAAGACTGATCTCAATACTGACTGGCACAGGGACTTTGACCTGCTTTCTTTCCAACCTAGGCACATTTGCCTCTTTTTAGGCATCCTGGTGTTCTTCCTCTCTGGGGCTTACCATACTGATGCGAGACTTAGTACAGACATTCAACCGGTTTAGAACGTCTAAGCTCAAAGGGATCCACCAGCTTCAGCCTCCCTAGTAGCTGGGATTACATTCCAGGCATATGCCACAATTTCCAGGATGAAAGTACAATTTTAAAAGGTACAAAGCACTATAGGAGGGAAGAGGAAGGGGAAAGGAGTTCTGGCTGAGAGGATCTGGGACAGCATCAGGGGAGCACGTTAGCTGGGTCTTGAGGGAAGGTAGGAACTGGCCATGTGAAGGACATTCTAAGAGCATGGAACAGGGTGAATGAAGGCATGAAGGTGAGAATGCACTAGGCACGTTTAGGGAATAGCAAACAGTCCTGTCTACCTGAATGCAGGGTATATGAAGGCGAGTAGGGGGAGATCAGATCAGGAAGGGCCAAGGAGTTTGGACTTTATTTGGAAAGATGCTAGGGAGCCAGAAAGGGGTGTGACACTGGGTAACTCACTCAATTTCTAAGTCTCAGTTTTCTTATCTGTAAAATGGGGATAATATTTATACTTGTCTCATAGGGCTGTAGTGAGAAGAAAATGTATAGACAATTCTCTGAAAATCTTAAATGCTGCATGACTACATGCTGTTAAGAGAGAGGAAGTAGTGTATAGGACAGTGAAGCATTTTCTAAACTGAACTTGTGATTCCAACAGTGGGGGGGAATTCTCCATGAGGAACTTACTTTACCAATGTATAGCATCATTTTCTCTAAAATTTCTTCTTAGACAGTTGCCAGTATAGAGTAGGGGGCAAATACTGAAAATTGAGAAACTAAGTAGAAGCCTATTTTAGTAGTGTAGGCAAGAGATGGTAAGGGTTTGAGCTAGAGTAGTAGCAGGAGAAACAATCCATTAGAATATAAGCTCCTTGAGGGCAGGGACTGTCTTTTGCCTTTCTTTGTCTCCCCAGAACTTAATACAAGGCCTGCCATATAATAGGAGCTCAATAAATTCCAGTCAATTGATTGACAGAGAGAAAGAGACTGATGCATGAGAGATTTCAGAGGTAGAAAGGACAGAGTTTAGGGGCTGGTTTTGAGAACAAAGGAGGAAGAGCCAAAAGAGGTTTTGATTTTGGATGACCGGTCATCAGTGTTTCCATTGGGAAGTTCAGGAGTGATTTGGAGGAAAATGCTGAGTTCAGTTTTGGGAAAAGGCAGTGGTGTGTAACGGAAAGAACCCTGGATTTGGAATCAGAAGAGCAGAGTTCAAATCTCAGCTCTGCTGTTTACTACCTAGCGATGTTGAGCAAGCCAGTTACTTTTCTGGATCTCAGTTTCCTCATCTGTAAAATGAAAGGCTTGAACTTGATGGATTCTGAGGTCCCTATTAGCTCTAGATCTACAGCCTTGTGGTTTTATGCCCTCTAAGGTCCCATCCAACCCTAAATTGACAACTCTATGCTTCAGTGTTGAGCTTAGGAGTTTAAGAGGGAATTTTCTAATTTCTTTTTTTTTTTTTTGGCTAGGCAATGGGTTTAAGTGACTTGCCCAGGGTCACACAGCTACTAAGTGTAATGTGTCTGAGGCTGGATTGGAACTCAGGTCCTCCTGAATCCAGGGCCAGTGCTCTATCCACTGTACCACCTTGCTGCCCCGAATTTCCTAATTTCTAATGTCAAATTATTTTACTATCATCTCAAACTCAGCATGTCCCATACTAAATTGTTCATCTTCTCCTCTACATCCATTCTTCCCCTCAGTTTCCCTATTTCTGAGGACACTATCTTTTTCTCCAAGAAGTCAGGCTAGAGTTTTTAATTCTTCCTTTTGCCTCACTCCTCATATTTAATCATTTGCGAAATGTCAGAAAGTCTGCCTCCACAACATCTCTAATATCTGTCCACTTCTTTTCACTCACAAGACCCTCATCACCTCTTACTTAGATTATTGCAAATGTTTTCTGTTCTCTCCAATTCCTGTATCCATTTCCAACTTAAATTTTGCATCTGATATTTTAACACAACAGTCAAAATAATCTTCCTAATGTAGAGGTGTGACCACATGACTCCCCTGATGAAAACCCTTCAATAACTCCCAAATGCCTAGAGACTAAAATATAAAGTTCTCAACTTGACATTTAAGGTCCTCTACCATCTGGCTTCAACCAGTCTTATTTCATACTTTTGTTGTTCAGCTGTTTTTTTTCAGTTGTGTCTGACTCTTTATGACCTCATTTGGGGTTTTCTTGGCAGAGATACCGGGGTAGTTTGCCATTTCCTTCACCAGCTCATTTGATAGATGAGAAGGTTGAGGCAAAAAGGGTTAAGTGACTTGTCCAGGGTCACACAGCTAGTAAGTGTCTGAGGCCAGATTTGAATTCAGGAAGATGAGTCTTCCTGACTCCAAACCTGGTCTTATCCACTGCACACGTAGCTGCCCAGCAGAAAGAATACCAACTGTATTTAGAGTCATATGACTTAGGCTCAGGTCCTAGCCCAGTGTCTTAATATCTCTATGATCTCTAACAAATTGATTTTCCTCTTTGGGCCTCAGTTTCCTCATCTGTAAACTGAGCAATTTGCCCTAGATGACCTCTTAGACTTCTTCTAGATCCTATGAAATGTGCTACAGGACAGGCACATTTTGAAGAGACTGCAGCGAGGTCAAGAGGTTAGACTACAGAGAAGCATAGGAGGGCAAGGCTTCCATGTAACCCCAAGTCACAATGACTAGCCCTGAAGGAAAGTGTCAAATCAATTTACATACACTTATGAAATGATATAAGTAAAGTGCTGTGCAATACCTTATCAAGCATGTTACTTTGTATTATGAGTACCTACTATGTGCTACATGTTAGCACAGGTGGATAGGCAGAGGTGAACTGCCAAAGCAGAGGGTAATGAGGCTCCTGAGGGAGATGGAAGGTGAGTAACCTGAGACACTGGGAGAGAAGAAAGGGGCAGTGTGATTATGATGACGTCAGGGTCAAGAGATCTGGGATCAAATCTCAGCTTTGCCATTTCCTCGTTCTGTGAACTTCATTAAGTTACCATGCCTGGGTCTTAGTTTCCTAAGCTATAAAAGGAACGAGTTGGATTAAGTCGTCTCCTAAGGTTTCTTCTAATTTTAAAATCCTTTTATTCCATGTTCTATGGATGGGGGTACTGATGACAACTTCCAATAAACAATTTTCACCTAGGGCTGGCCTAGTTTTCCCATTTTGTTTCCCTGGGTTATTGCTATGAGCTTTTGTTGGGAAGATAAGGGGAGCGATACAAAGCAGGAAGAAGACGTAAAGGAAGGCAAGGTTGATGCATCCCTGGGGAAGAGGTCAGGCAAGTAAGGAGAGAAACCACTGGATGCTCACCTGTTTCAAGGTCACCAGGGCTTGAGGATACAAGCCTTGGTGCTGCTGGAGTTTGCCAAGTTTCATCACCTGGACCGCTCGGACGGGATGAAAGCCCGGGTAATAGAGCCTGGGAGACAGAAACAGGAGAGAACAACACTGTCATCCTGTCAGCTTTCACCTTCACAGTCATTGCCTCTTCAGAGAGCTATCAGGGTGGGACCACAAAGTTAGCGGTGAATTTTAATCAGTCGCTGGGAAAATTAGCCTCAGCCCTGAAGGAAGCACAGAAGGGAATTAACACATTATTACTTTAACACAAGAATGCCTTTTGCAAGAAAGAAGTGACAGAGGTGGGATGGCTTCTCAATCTCTCCCTGCTGGGAGCTGCAAAAGCTGGGGGTACCTGGCTCTGCATGTGACTGGGAAGGCTTTGATGGCACCACTGAGTCCCGGCAGTGAGCAATGGAGGGAGATGCTCAACCCCATCAAAGAGTCATGGTATTGGGGGGATTAGTGGATGCTCTGAGCCTGCCTCTTCTCTCTCTGAAGCCAAGAGCTTGAGCTCCAGCTTGATCCATAGGCTTACTGAACCGGATCCAACAAATGCATGGAGGTTATCTCTATGACCTCCAAGATCCTCAGCATTTCTTCTGAAGTAGTTATGGTCTTCATGTAAAAAACCTGCAACCTCATTCCTTATAATGTCAAGGCCCTTGAAGGTAGGGGAACATTTCACTTGTATTTGAGGCACTTAGCCACACTGCTACATAGGAGGCACTTAATAGATGCTTATTGATTGATTTGATTTGAAGGTAAACAGTTTTATTCTTTTTTTAAAAAAATACATTTTATTGATCTTTTTTTATATTTACTTTGCAATCATTTCAACACACCCTCTCCTTCACTAAATCCTCTTGTGTGCCAAAGGAAAACATTTAGGCAAAAAACATCAGATACAGTGACAATATATAGAGTAGGCAAGTGGGGTGGGTGAGAGGGAAAGGAATAAGCATTTATTATGTGCCTACTATGTGCCAGGCACTATGCTTAAGTACTTTACAAATATTATCTCATTTGATCCTCTCACAAAAACCCTGAGAGGTAGGTGGTTTTATTATCTCCATTTACCATTTAGGAAACTGAGGCAGAAAGACTTTAAATGATTTTCCAGGGCCACACAGATAGAAAATGTCTGGGGCCTCATTTGAGTCTTCCTGTGTCCAGGCCCAGCACTCTTATCTACTGCACCATCAAGCAACCTCTAGCAAAATTCTGCCTCAGTAATATCTAGCCTCTCTCAATCAGTCATTATTTAAACACATACTATGTGCTAAGTGCTGAGGATACAAAAAGAGGGAGAGGTGAAAAGCTAATAGATCATTGACAGATAAGGGGATTTCAGAATGCTTGAACATTGAGGTAGTACTTCTGTGCATGATGGCAAGATCAAGGGTATGACCATCTTTGTGCCTGGCTGAGGTGGCGTGGAGGAGTAGCTCATGGGGGGTGAGTAGACTGAGGAACTGGGGTGGTTAGGGTATTTGAGGGAAAGTCAATATGCATATTGAAGTCCTGTAGTATGAAGGCAGGAGATGGAGAGGAGAGAAAAACTGTGAATCAGGGACCAAACTCACTGAGGAAGGAAGGCGAGTGACCTGGGGATCTGCAGACAACAGCTACCAGGGTTCTGACTGGGTGGTAGATATGAATCACATGGACCTTAGTGGAAGAGAAGTTACTGAATGACAGAAAAAGGGGGAGATCCTGGAAACAGCAATGAAGGGAAGTTTGTTACCTATAGAACAAGCATTCGAGAGGGCACCATAGAAGGCCTGGGTGGTATTGGGTTGAAACTTTGGGGTGGGAGGGTTGAGGGGGATAAGAATTGGGTGGTGTGTGTGGGGAATGGGTTTTGGATAATAATCTACAGGAGTTCAGAGTCACTGGCATGTGAAGAGGAAGGTATGTTTCATTATTTATTCATAGCATTCAATCTCCTTTTAGTAACCTTTACATTCACATTGTTGTAGACATTATGTATATTTTCCTTTGGTTCTGCTTATTTCATTCTACACTAGTTTACACAAATCTTCCCGTATTTCTCTGAATTCCTCATATTTGTCATCTTTTGTCGTACAATAATTATTCCATTAATTTCCTATCCCATTGTTAATTGTGTCATATACCAACGAAGGCACTCATTTTGTTTGCACTTCTTTGCTACCACAAAGAGTGCTCCTATGCATATTTGTGTGTATACTGGACCTTTGTTTCTGTCCTTGATTGTGCTGGGCAATGCCCAGCAAGTAGTAGGATTACTGGATCAAAGATTATGGACAATTTAGTCACTTTTCCTGAATAATTCCCAATTGGCATTCAGAATGGCTTATGACATTTCTGTGCTTGTTATGTACTACGTGCTCAGCACTCTCACAGGTAATAAGCAGAATACATGAAATAGAACATTCACTCTCTTCTCTATCTCCATATGTTCTCATTGGGGATACAACACAAGATGGTAGCTAAGCCATGCACGCATAGAATGCAATGGGCATTCATAGCATCATAGAATCTTAGGGACCTACGTAGACATTTTAGTCCAACCTATCCATGAATGTGGATAGAGGAAGGAGGTGGACAGAACCTTGAACCTGGAATTAGGAAGACCTGAGTTAAAATCCAGGCTCAGACACTTGCTAGCTCTCTGATCCCAGGCAAATTACTTTATCTCTGTCTCCCTCAGTTTCTTCAACTGTCAAATGGGGATTCTGACAGCACCTATGTCCCAGAGTTGGGAGGATGAAATAATATTTGTAAAGTGTTTTACGAACCTTTTACTAAACCTATATCAATGTTATCTATTATTACCTCATCTACAACGTATCTGACGAAATGGTCATTCAACCTTTGCTCGAAGACTTCCCATGGAAGGGAAGCTGCTGACTCCTAAGGCACTTGGTTGTACTTTTAGATAGCTCTAACAGAAAATTTTTCCTGATATCAAGGCTAAATCTGCTTCTTTGCAGCTTTTATCCATTGCTTCTGGTTCTGAGCAATACAAATCTAATCACTCCTTTTGCACGATGGCCCTTCAAATAACCTTCTCCCAAAGCCTTCCCTTAGGGAGGGCTCAGAACTTCCTAGGTAACTCTCCATTTTCCATCAGCTACCCTGCTTGGTTTTGACTCTATAAGTATCACGTTCCCAGCCTGGCACTCCTGGATGCTACCCCACCTCATTCATCTTTCTCTTTCATATTGTTTTCCTCCATTATGTTGGAAGCTCCTTGAGGACAGCAACTTTTTCTATTTGTACAAAAATATTTTTGTTGTGGCAAAGAATTGGAAATTGAGGGGATGCCCATCGATTGGGGAAATGGATGAACAAGTTGTAGCAAATGATTGTGATGGAGTACAACTGTTCTATAAGAAATGACAAGGTAGGGGTGGTTTTAGAAAAACATAGCAAGACCTGTATGAACTGATACAAAATGAAGTGTGAAGGACCCAGAAATCATGCACAGTAACAGTAACGTTGTAATGATCAACTGCGAAAGACTTGTCTACTCTGATCAATACACTGATCCAAGACAATTCCAAAGGACTCATGATGAAAAAATGCTATCCACCCTCCAGAGAGAGAACTGATGAACTCAGAGTGCAAATCAGAGTATAATTTTCTCACATTCTTTCTTTTTTTGTGATATGGCTAATATGGAAATGTTTTACATGATTTCACATGAGTAATTGATATCATATATCATATTGTTTGCCTTCTCAGTAGGCAGGAGAGGGGGTGGGAGGGAGGGAGAGAATCTGGAACTCAAAATTTAAAAAGAAAAGAATGTTAAAAATAAATAATAAAATTTAAAAATAAATGTCTACTGAATTGAAGTGAATTAAACTTGATCCCCATGAACCCTCTGTTCCTCTAGGCTGGATATATCCCCTTTTCCTTCCACTGATCATGACCACTGTCTCAGGCACCTTCACAGTCATGTTGCCTTTCTTTTTCCAATTTATTAACATCCTTCCTAAAATGTAATACCTAGGATTAAATGCAATATTCCAAGTGTGGTTTGACCAAGATAGAAAAATGGAATGATCCTTAGCTGACAGAGAGCAATAGTCAGCAATAGTCAAAGGATCTAGAAAGGCTGCAGAGAAAAGGTGGGACTTGAGCCGGGTCTTTTTTTATTTTGAAGTAGAACATGGAAAAGGGGAAAAAAGAGGTGAAGACATTACAGATGGGGGTAACATGAACAAAGGTGGGGCTACAGACCCATTAAAGGAGATAGCTATATATAAAAGGACATGAGCTGAAGAGAACATCTGACCTTTCACATCACGTCATATCTTAGAATCTCAGTTTGATTCTCCCATGACATGAAATTTATAACACTCTCCTCCTATGTCCTCAAAAACTAGAAATCACTTTCTGGGCTAGAGGTATCCAAGCCCATAGAAGGTACACTGTTATAGAATGATTAAAAAGAGAACAGGATGAAAGATACTGAAGAGGGAGTATGAACATGAGTGTCTAGAATTTTGAGAGAGGCAGAGTAACACTGTGGATAGATAGTATGCTAGACTTGGAGTCAGGGAGAACCGGGTTCAAATTCCATCTCTTACATTTATTGGCTGTGGGCCCTCCTTGGGCCTCAGCTTCCTTATCCATAAAATGGGCATACTAATGCAGTACTATACTTACCTTATAGGGTCTCATCTGTATTTAGAGGGCTTAGCAAACTTTGAAGCATTCCATAAATGCCAGTTGAGTATCAACAAGGCATAGTGGGCCCATCTTAAAGTAAAAAAGATGCAAGTTCAGGTGAACGTGGACAAATCATTTAATCTTTCATGTTTTAGGAAGCTAAATTACAGATGGTTTGCACCAGTGGAAGAAGTTTGCCCAGTGGGAGTTCCTCTGCACTGATGAAATCACATTCTTGGACTAAACATACATAACTACCATAATCATGTTGATGGTTTGCCTCTTCCAACAAAAACAGGGATCATTATCAACTTGAATGTAAAGGAATTTAAAATTTCTAGATAAAAGGCATCTATAGGCCTCTATTTTCAGACTTGAACTGCTCTGGACATTTAAAAAAAAGTCAGTCACCGT